ACGACCCTCAGCATCAAAGGTAAGGACACTGGGGGTAGCCATGAATGCAGTGGCCTAGCAGGGAGGGATCTCACCAGTCCGAGTAAGTAGGGCCGGGGCGCGCCGGTAGGAACAGTAGCGGCTCAACGACAGGGCTGCTGGGCGGCTCAGCTGCTGGGCGGCTCGGCGGCTCGGCTGCTGGGCGGCTCGGCGGCTCGGCGGCTCGGGTGCTGGGCGGCTCGGCGGCAGGGCGGCTCGGCGGTTCAGCTGCTGGGCGGCTCGGCTGCTGGGCGACTCGGCGGCTCGGTTGCTGGGCGTTTCGGCTGCTGGGCGGCTCGGCAGCTCGGTTGCTGGGCGGCTCGGCGGCTCGGTCGCTGGGCGGCTCGGCGGCTCAGCAGGTGGGCGGCTCAGCGGTGAAGGGGCCGGTAGAGGCGGCGATGGAGCCGCTAGGGGCGGCAGCGAGGGCCGCTAAGGGCGGCGAGGTGGCCGCGAAGGGCGGCGACAGGGCCGCGAGAGGCCGCGAAGGGCGGTAAAGGGGCCGTGAAGGGCGGTGCAAGGTGCCGCGGAGGGTGGCGACGGGCCGTAAAGAGGCTGCGAGGGGCCGCGAAGGGCGGCGTAAGGGGTCGTAAGGGCGCCGCGAGGGGCCGGAAGGGGCCGCACAAGGGGCCGTAAGGGGCCGCAAGGGCGGCGCGAGGGGCCGACGGGCGACGCGAGGGGCCGTAAGGGGCTGTAAGGGCGGCACGAGGGGCCGTAAGGGCGGCGCGAGAGGCCGTGAGAGGGGCCGCTAAGGGCGACGAGAAGGGGCCGTGAGGGGCCGTGAGAGGGCGCGACGGTAGGGAGGGCACACGGGGCGCGACTCGGGCTGGAGCAAAGCGCGCTCCGGGCAGGAAAAGAAAATCGTGGTGGGCCCTAGGAAGCGTTCCCACTTGGGAACCTGCTCCATACCATGTGAAGAAGTGAGGAATGAATGAACTGGGAAAGAGGTGGGTACAAGTAGGAAAACCTAGAAATGTTGTACCCCATATTGTCTACCCCACTACAGCCTACACAGACTATAGCATATGAGTTTGACACCAGATCCCCCTGCACCCCCTGCTCCTCCTGCTCCTCCTGCGCCTCCTGCTCCACCCGCTCCTCCCGCACCTCCCGCTCCTTCAGATCCGCCTGAGTCTGTTACGGTAGGTGCTCACCAACGGTCCGTGCTCCAGCTGTATTTACCAGCCACGTTTGACGAATGGTTGGCTGAAGCGGACACACCCAAGGCCCCTGATGCACGCATCCAAGCTCCGACGCCTGCACCACGGTGGGGACAACCAGAAGCCTGCGCGTGGGATGAGTCGGCTGTAGGCGCCAACGATGATGTGGCCGCTGAGAAACACGACACCGGCGCCGACGAAGCTGGAGGCGACGGTGCAGCGGGCGACGAGGAAGACGTGTTCCCAGACCGTGACACAACTGCCGAGGACGATAACGGTGTGGAGTCCTGGTGGCGCGACGCACCACGCGAGAAGATGCCGATACCGACGTATCCGCCCATTAACAAAAACGCCCCCACTCGTCTTCCGAGAACCGAGATGCCCGCCCCCCCTCCCCCAGGCACAAGCAGACTCAACATAAGCGGCACTCCTACACCGCCGAGGAGAAATTGAGATGGCTCGTGCGGCTCGAGCTTGTGGCATTAGTGAGCGAAGTGGCGCGGGAGAACGGCATACACCGAAAGTGCCTGACAGAGTGGAAATCCCAAGCGGATCCGCTGAAGGCTGCACACGGCGCACGGATGCGACTTCACGGGCGCGGGAGGTCGTCTTGGTACTGACCTATGGAGTTAAAGGTGTACGCGCAACTCCTCGACTGGCGACGCCGCGGAGTTGCGGTTTCGGTCGGCCGGCTGCAAGAGTGGTCCAAAGAAGTGATGAAGGTGCTGTTCCCTGACGTCTAGTGGAAAGGCAGTCAGCGATGGACGGAGCGCTTCCGCAAGCGGTGGAACCTCAGTGTGCGCATGAAAACAAAGGTGGCGTAGAAAGCACAGTAGCGCAAGTGGTTCTTTAACCGTTGATTTCGATGAATCCCGAGTTTGCTTTTCTGCTTTGTTGCCTGTCTCTTGTGCGCGATACTAATCCGGCTCCCTATGTGTCCTTCCCTCCATGTGCGCAGACGTGGAGGTGCAGTGCAAAGACTTCTTGCAGTACGTACGAGACGCCCAGAACGAATACGACATTGACAACCGTTACATCATCAACGCCGACCAGACACCGCTGTGGTTGGAGATGCCGGCGACGACCACCATGGAGCAGACGGGCGTGAGGTTGGTGCCCATCCGCAGCGGTGGGTACCAGAAGGAGAGAGTCACCATGATGCTTGCATGCACGGCGACGGGCGAGAAGTTGAAGCCGTGGGTGTTTTTCAAGCGCAAGACATTCCCCAAGGGTGACTTCCCGAACAGTAAGATGTTGATGCGCATGTTTTTACTGTTAAACCGGAGTCGTTCTAACCCGTCGATCTCCTGCGTGCAGATGTTATGGTCGGCTGCAAAGCGAACGGGTGGATGGAGGCCGCGGGCGTCATCAAGTGGCTCGATGCGGGCGTGGTGCCGTTATTGAAGCCGAAATTCGGCCTGCAGAGTCGTAGCGCCATGCTGGTGCTCGACTCCTACCGCGGTCACCTAGCACCCGAAGTCAAGGCGAGACTCGCGGCGCTCAACATCGTGCATGCGATCATCCTGGCGGGATGCACGGCAGACCTGCAGCCGCTCGATGTGTCGATCAGCAAGAGCTTCAAAGCAAGCGTTTGTCAGCAGTATCAAAATTGGTTTGAGCAGGACGGCATGAACATCTTGACCTCGGCAGGTGAGTGACGACATGTCCTACCGTCTCCAAATCGTGTGCTTGTATGCCTGTTGATGCACTTATGTTTTCCCCGCCCCATTCCGTGTGATGCAGGGAACATAAACCACCTCCGGAGGTGGTGCTCAAGTGGATTTCACGGGCGTGGAAGGCTGTGCCCGTCGACCTGATCAAGAAAGCCTTCCTCACGTGCAGCATCAGCAACGCCCTTGACGGGAACGAAGACAAACTGGTGTTGGCGCACCGGAGAGGCCAGTTGTCCCATGAGGTGGAGGTGGACGATGACATCCAGGCAGATGGGTTCTGGGGCAACAACTCCACGGAGCCTGAGTCGGACGAGGAGGAGGAATAGGCCAAAGGCAGGCCCTCAGATTCACTTTTAGGGTCGTCAACCCATCAGGGTCCCCCTGCACGTTAACTCTGATTGACAGTGTTCCAAAAAATAAAAAGCCTGAAATGACAGTGTTGCGTTTGTAAAAAGCCTGATGCATCAGTGTACCACTAGTAAAAAGGCTGTCACTGACGCGTCGCAGGTGATGGCAATGGGGCAGGATCCTTGGCAGCCCTCCAGCACTACATGGTGGCCACGTTCGGATTCGCCAAGACTGACTGCTGCAGTGAAACGGCCCAATGGTGTGAGGCGCCGTGCCAACAAAACACCTCTGAACGTGAAGCAGAGGCATAATTTCACAGGTTGGCCTCGCCACGGGGTGCTTACAAATCGGGAATCTGAAATTCCATGTAATTGCGGTCAAATCCACATGGCACAGGTAAGAATCGCTTCAGTGCTGGTTTCGTTACAACGCTGTGGCATCAGTGTCCTAGGGGAAAAAAGTCTGAAATTTCAGTGTGGCCTAACAAAAAAGGCTGAAAGATCAGTCCCTAAAAAATCTCAACACAGACTTTTCAGGGTAGGTAAAAAAAGGACTGCCAAAATCAGGAATTTCAAGGTTTTTTTCTTGATATCTGAGGCCCTGGCCATAGGGTAGACTAGACAAGTTGAAATGTGTGTACGCAGAAAAGCAGAGACCACTAATGGAAAGATTAGAAAATGTAGGATACCGTAAGCCCCCGGATAGAAGCGCAGGCCTCGGATAAGCGCCGGTGCTTATAAAAGGATGAGGGCGCTTGTATCCGGTCCTCGATTATAAGCGCACCCCTAAAGGCTTACGGATTATAAGCGCCACCCTCTGAATTATTTTTAATATTTTTACTGGAAACGCTGTAACGAAACACAATTTTTGCATCCCAACATTCAGAATTTCGAATCCCTTCACCATCGCGCGACTCAATGCCTTCGCGTCCAGTCAGAACGACCTGTCATGGGGTTAATCTGACTCATTCTGACTGTGCGTGTTGTCAGAGAATCAGCCACTGCCAATTTACGCGAGATTCACATTCCAGCCCCCTACAATATCGATTCGATTCAAATCGCAAGGACGAGATGAACACTTTGGTGTAAAAAAACTAGATTTCATATATGTCATTTTATAAGCCCCGGCGCTTATAAAAATCCTCAATTATAAGCCCACCCCCTAAAAAACAGTGTTTTTTTATAACTCCAGGGGCGCTTCTATCCGGGGGCTGACGGTAGGTTGTTTAAAAAAACATTTTCTTTTAATACAAAGGGTGCGCTTATAACAAGTACTGATTTCTCAGGGGGTGCGCTTAGAATTGAGGATCGGCCATAAGCGCATTGCTCCAGATACGTACAAGCGCATGCGCCTTTAATAGGCCTGCGCTTACATCCGGGGCCATACGGTAGCTTTCTGCTTGTTGGGCTACCAAAAAGCCCTTTCTGAAATGAGGATACGGTATCATCGTTATTACCTGAGCACTTCTTCAACCTTATGTGACGCAAGCACTTCAACCTTACGTAACGCACCGTAATATATTGTAGACTTGAAAATTCAGCTCCTGCTCCATTCAAAGATTTGCAACACATACATAGACAAGACAGCAGCTATTTACAATGGTGGAATGACAGTAGTAGTGGTGCTGTATCTGTTCCTGCCTTTTGTGTGCACTGGCCGTGCTGGTGCTGGTGCTCGTGCTCGTGCCAATTCTGGCTCTGTTGCCAGCGGCAATAGAGGTGGTGGTGGTGGTGGTGGTGGTGCTGCTGCTGCTGCTGCTGCTGCTGCTGCTACTGTAGGTACAACCGCCGTAGCTACAGCCGGGCTACAGCCGGAGATACAGCCAGAGGTACAGCCAGGCTACAGCCAGAGTTACAGCCGAAGATACAGCCAGAGCTACAGCCAGAGCTACAGCCAGAGCTACAGCCAGAGCTACAGCCAGAGCTACAGCCGGAGCTACAGCCGGAGCTACAGCCGGAGATACAGCCGGAGATACAGCCAGAGGGGCACTGCACACGTCAAGGGGGGCGGGTTTATCCCCGTCCTCGAACGCCATCCTCAACAGCCCTCCTGTCAGTCTGATCCTAATCTCAGGAGCACTCTCCCACTCCTGTAAATGCCGCTCATCTCACTCGTTTGCACTGTGCTCAGAGCAAGACCATTCTGTTTGTATCCTTTACTGAGCTAAAGAATAGGTCGTTTCCTGCTTTTCACCCCCCCACCCTTCTTCTCATTTGCTCCCCTCTCTTGCAAATTATTCAGCCCAACCCCATCATCCAGCAACATGCCTGGGCTAGGCTTGGCAGCGCGAGGCCTGTCGTTTCTGGCCTCGCGGGCAGCGGCTGCTGCTGCTGTCGTTTCTGGCTGCTTCTGTCTCCTTTCCCGCGGATGCTCTGCCTTTTGCTGTTGCTGCTGCTTCTGCTGCTTCCAAAGCTCCAGCTACTCTTGCTGCTGCTGTAGCTTCAGAAGCTGCTGCTCCTGTTGCCACTGCTGCAGCTGTCGTGCCTCCTTCGTAGCTTCCTCCTCCTCCACCTGAGCATACTCATGACCCCGCCAGGGCAGCTGCTGCTGTAGCGTATGAGACATTGCCCCATGCTGCTGTGTCTGCTGCTGTGGCAGCTGTGCTGCTTTTGCTGATGCTCGCTCCCCCTCAATCACCTGTGCATGCTCGTGGGCCTGCCGGTGCAGCTGCTGCACTGGAGTCTCAGGCTGCTTCTGTTGCTGCTGCTTTTGTTGCTGCTGCAGCTGAAGAGATGCTGTTGCATTTGGTGATGCCCGCCCCTCCGCAATCACCTGTGCATGCTCATGTCCCTGCTGAGGCACTTGCTGCAGTGGGTGCTGTGTCTGCTGCTCCTGTTGCTGTTCTTGCAGCAATTGCAGCATTTGCTCATTCTCACGCTCTTCCTCTCGTGCTGCCCTTGCTGCTTCTCCCCCTGCCTTTAACACGAGCTGCTGTTTCACCTTCTCCCCCTCCCGAATCGCCTCATTCACGGCCTGCCTTGCCTGCTGTTGTGCTGACTCATACGACTGCTGTTGAGGTTGCACCTGCTGAGACGACAGCGGTGGTGGCAGTTGCTGTGGCGGCACCAGCGGTGGCTGTTGTGGTGGTCGTCGTTGCAGCAGCAGCTGTGGCAGGTTGGCGGCATGGATGGCATTCAGCCAAACGTTGAGCATCCAGTGGTCAAACAGGACAAAGTGCACCTGCGGGCAATGGGGCATGTGACAGATAAGAGTGCAGAGGATAAGTGGGATCATGAAGAATGAGCTCCCACCAGCAGCAGCAACTCGTGAGAATATCTCACGTGAGTGGTCTTGGGACATATTCTCAGCGTGTGAGTACGTACTTCATGTGTGTACCTCATGTGAGTACGTACTTCATGTTGTGTACCTCATGTGAGTACGTACTTCATGTGTGTACCTCATGTGAGTACGTACTTCATGTGTGTACCTCATGTGAGTACGTACCTCATGTGTGTACCTCATGTGAGTACGTACTTCATGTGTGTACCTCATGTGAGTACGTACCTCTTGCACTGACCCCCACGGTTGGCTCAACAGAACGTTCAGAGCAGCTTGGGCGCCCTTCACAGGCGGGTAACTGAACAGAGAAGCGAGGAGGAAAAAACACGGAGGGATAAATAACACAAAGATACACACCCACACCAAAAAGGGCAAATGCAGAGTATTATGCAGAAACAAAGTTATGAATTAAAGTTTGAGCCTGTTTATACGACGGATGTTAGATCAAAGAGTGTACCAGAAAATGCAGACGAAATCATGGATAGGATTGAACCTCGTGCTTGTAAAGAGGATGGATTGTACCCGAAAATGCCGCACGATATTGCGGGGATGGCGATATACTTGACACCGCACTTGTTGGCTTCTCTTAGAATGCTCCTGCGCATGAGTGAGAGCAGAAACGAAGTAGACACAAGGATGGGTGGGAGGATGGGAGGATGAGTGGGTAGGTTGATGGATTCATGAGTGAGAGGTTGCGTGAGAGGGTGAGGGAGTGAGGTGTTGAGTCCGAGCATGCACATGGTGCAATTTGCTGTGTGTGCTTCATGGACAGCACAGCACAGCACACACCTGTAGGCAGACCCACCACATGAATATGTGCACACACCAGGGCAGAGCACAGCACAGGACCACACCGCACAGCACCGCACAGCACACACCTGTATGCCTCTTTAAGCACGGGTGCTGACACTCTTTCGGTCAAATACACGGGCCCCACCGCATGAATTACATAGCGCACTGGTAGCCTTGCTGCCCTGCAGTGTGAAATGAACAAGTGGTGGGAGCAGAGACAGAGAAGAGGAGGGAAGAGAGCTTGAGAGTAAGTTTAACCACTAAACAAGTGACTCACTGCAACTCGTTCAGTCACTGTGGTCACAGCATCCCCTGCTTGTCAGGGATCGCCATTTCTCCGCACTGGCAGGTCATAGCAGAGCTTTGGGAAAACATGCTCCTACTCCTACAGTCACCCACTCAAACGTCTCCCACGCCACACCCTCAGTCATTACTACAGTCACTCACCCTGTGGTCACAGCATCCCCTGCTTCGCACCGATCACCATTCCTCATCATGGGTAGGTCGTGGCAGAGCTTCAGGAGGGCTGGGCCTGCTGCCCGGTGGATGGCTGGTGCGAGGGGAGGGGAAATTAGGAGAGAGAGCGGAGAGAGGAAGAATGAGAGGTAAACAGAGGGAACAAGGAAGCAGGTCGTGGCAGAGCTTCAGGAGGGCTGGGCCTGCTGCCTGGTGGATGGCTGGAGAGGGGAAGGGGGGACATGAGGAAGAGGGGAGAGCGGAGAATGAGGCGTGCAAGTTGACATGATGATAAGATGCGAGGAACGGCAGTACCGTGGCAGAGGTTCAAAGAGGCCAGCAGAGACGAGCTATGAGAGGAACGGAAATCCGGAAAGGAAATCCCTCTTCGAACCCTTATTTTTGCAGCATGGTCGGTAAGTCGACGTTGCAGGGAGTTTTTTGAGAATTCTCAAAAACTCCTCTGAGAGGAAAGGAAATGAAATCCCTCTTCGGACCCTCATTTATGCAGCATAGTCGGTAAGTCGACATGATGACACGGCTCAGCAGACACCCTTAATGCCTTCTACCCGCTCTCCCTCCCAATCCCCTTAACGCTCTCCCTTTTGCCGCTCACCTCCATCCAGGCCGCCCCCACCAAGCACCGACTCGTTTGCCGCATTCACCTGCGTGGGGGCACGCAGGAGGAAGGGCGGGTGACACAGGAGGAAGGGCAGGTTTGGCTGGTAGGAAATGAGTTGTACCAGCTCACGTTATACCCTCTTGCATTTACAACTCGCTCTCGCCTCGCTTGCACTCACCAGAGCATACCTAAGTGCCCCGGATAACCCCATGGTGCCAGCACATACACTCCCCCAATGCAGTAACCCCAAAATCCAACAGCATGCCAGCTGGCAATCAATCACTCCAGCTTGTATCAAATATCGGACCTCCTTATAGTGAGTTCCACCTCCCTGCACTCACAATAGCATCACCCTTTGCTTCATCTCACCTGGCTGAAAACCTCGTCACACCTGTCCTCCTTACAGTCATCCCCCTTATAGTCACCCTCTTTACGACTCACAATGGCATCGCTTGCTCCGTCAACACACCACTTGGTGATATCCCCCCGATGCACGATCAGTATTCGATAACCCAATGCACGAGCAGAGGGCGTGTGAGTGCTGGCAGGATGGGAAGGAGAAGGAGTTTTCCTGCTGGCAGCAGCATGGGAGGCAGGAGGCAGAACTGCAAACGCAGCTGTGTCAGAGAAAAGATACGCCTGCGACTGGTGCATGGTGTATGGGGGGAAGGACCCGGTCGAACCGAGGAGCTGGAGCTATATCAACAGCAGCAGCAGCAGCAGCAGCAGCAGCAGCAGCAGCAGCAGCAGCAGCAGCAGCAGCAGCAGCAGCAGCAGCAGCAGCAGCAGCAGCAGCAGCAGCAGCAGCAGCAGCAGCAGCAGCAGCAGCAGCAGCAGCAGCAGCAGGAGCAGCAGCAGGAGCAGCTGCAACAGGAGCAGCAGCAGGAGCAGCTGCAGCAGGAGCAGCAGCAGCAGCTGCTGTTGCTTCAGTTGCTGCATCACCCCTGCTGCTCCCTCCCCCTCCAAACCACGTGTAATCCTGCTGCTCTCCAACAATAACCTCCCCAGGAGATCCACATAACCTCCCCAAGCTTCTTCCAACGGCTCCCCAAAACTCATCCCACACCTCCCTCCATCCTCCCCCTCCGCTTCTTGCTCCCTCTGCATCCCAACGCCCTTGGAATCTGCGGGAAATCATCTGCGGGGAGTGCTGAAACCTCTGTGTCGGATACGTCTGGCGCTCCCTGTTATCCCGAAGAGGCGAGCCCAAGAGTCCCCCTCCTCTTCCACCTTCAACACCCCTTGCTCCCTCTGCATCCCAAGGCTCTTGGAAACTGCCGGAAATCATCGATGGGAAGTGCTGAACCCCCTGAGGGGAATACGCCGGGCGTTCCTCGTTATCCCCTCGAGGCGAGCCCGAGAGTCCGCCTCTCCCTCTTCCTCTTCTGCCCCCTGACCCGTCTGAGCCCGGTGCTCCTCAAAACTGTCAGCACGCATCTGCGGGGAGTGATGCAACCTCGAGACCGAATCTTCGCCACACGGCAACTTTTGTCCCCGTTTTCGTCGCATCTGCGGGGAGTGAGGCAACCTCCGTGGGGAACACATCTGGTTTTCCTCCTCGTCGTGCTCGTGCTCTTGAGGCGAGCCCAAGAGTCCGCCTCTCCCTCCTCCTACTCCGTCCTTTGCTGCGTCTCCAGCCAAACGCTCTTCAGAACCGTGAGCACGCGTCAGCTGTGGGGGAGACATCTGGTGTTGCTGGTCGTATCCGCCAGGTGGGGACAGCTGTCCACCTCTCCCTCCCCCTCCCCCACCTCCTCCTCCTCCACAGCCTCTTGCCGCATCTCCACCCCAGCGCTCTCCAGAACTGCTGGGAGGACTCAGCTGTGGGGGAGACATCTGGTGTTGCTGGTCGTATCCCCCAGCGGGGAGCAGCTGACCACCCCTCCATCCCCCTTCACCTCCTCCTCCTCTTGCGCATCTCCACCCCAGCGCTCTCCAAAGCTGCGATGAAGCGTCAGCTGTGGGGGAGACATCTGCTGTTGCTGGTAGTCCTCTTGAGTAATGCCCAAGCGCCGTCCCCCTTTCTTCCTTCCCAATCCCTCCCGACTCCCCTCCTCACTCCCCACTCTCCTCACTCCCCACTCTCCTCTCTCCTCTTCTCCTCCCGCACCAACATCCTCCCTCCCGTCTCTTCTCCGCTTCATATCTCCCGGCCCTTCCCCTCCACCGTATTCCTCCCCTGCAACAGATATCTTCACAGGGGAATAACCTTGGGTCTGTGAGTGTGCTCCAGTCTTGTTGTGAGGCGCCTCAACAACAGTCCCTCCCCCTCCACCAGAATCCTCCCCTGAAGCAGATGTCTCCTGAGAGGGATACCCTTGGGTCTCTGAGTGACCTTGAGTCTTCTGGTGAGGCGCCTCACCAATAATCCCTTCACCTCTGCCAGAATCCTCCCCTGTAACAGATGCCTCCACAGAGGGGAATTCTAACTTTAATCGTGACTGTAACCATTCTTCGGTGTAAGGTTGCCCTTCAGCCTGAATGCCTTCATCAGTCTCTGATCGTTCTTCAGCTCCTACTGCTGTTCTCTCTGCTTTCCCTGCGGCAACTGTTTCAGGGGCCTGAAAAGCAGAAGCTCTTGCTGCTGCTCCAGCAACGGGAGGAGCCTGCTGTGAGCACGAAGACGAGGATCTATTTTGTGAGACAGAGGACTCGCCTGGAAATTCTCCAAGAGGGGACGGAACCTTGCCGTGAAAACGGAGTCAGCTGAATAAGATGAACCAGGCTGATTAAAATCCATGCTGTAAGACACTCAGGTTTCAGGCCGCGCGGGAAATCCTTCAGAGGAGCGAAGTGCCTCCCAACCGCTTCAATATCGTCTAAATCGTTCGTTTTGCTGTTCAACCCGCGACGCAAGCGCACTCGTAGCGGTAGTGACCGCTGCGGCGACTTTTGAGAGAGCAGCAGGTGGGATAGCTGTGCATTATTTCGAGACTGTACTAGAATCTCGAGACGCATGTTTGCTAAGCCGAAGCGCATCTCGAGACTGGAAAATCTTGACAAGCCGCAGCGCATGTTGGGACCTCATCGGATTGCCAAGCTGTACCTCCGGTGAGGTCTCAACATGCGCTGCGGCATAGTAGAAGGACGTGTGGGTGGGCGTGGCGAGTGGAAGTGTGAGTGGAAGGGTGAGGCGTGTCGAAGGCACGATGCATGGCTTTAAGACGCGGAGTAGTATGCAGGACGCACGATGTATGCAGAATGCAAACGACACGAGGCACGACGCGATGCATCATGCTGGCTTGACGGTGGTGTTTCGCGATTCGCAAATGGCCCATCCCAAAATTGCGTGGTCCTCAATCCGTCCCGAAACATATCTTGAAAGACACTTTCGGGACATTTTTGTCTTCAGGCGGTTGTGCGGTACATTTCAAGATGTGCCAAAAATGTCTTGTGTCGTAATCTGCACAGGCCTGGGAAGGTTAGAACTGCAACGCGATCAGAAGACGCAGGTTCTTGCCCGTCGATGTCAGTTCCATTGCGTTGGGTTTAGATTTTGTTTATGATTTTAGTTCGTGTTGTACCCTTCTGGAATATTTCATAACGAAATATAAGTACAACCACAATGTTTGTAAGGAATTTTCCGGATTCCTTACTGGGTCACACTGTACGCGTACAACTCCGACTTTCGGGAAAACCAGGCTCGGCCCGCCCGACCTCGCCTTCCGAGCCACCACCGCGTCGCTTTCGGGTTTTCCAACCCCGAACCTGCACCCAACCATCTCGCGACCCCGTGACCTTGGCCTAGCTAACCTTGGCTATATTATGCCTAGGCCTCGTTGTTCGTTCAGACGTTGTAATCACTTCCGCACTATTGAGTTCTGCGCACTCTTTCCTTTCACAACTTATAACACTTGGTATCAGAGCCTAAAGTCCTAGGTTACCCTCGCGTTTCCGGGGTAGTTTGAAGAAGGGGAGTGATAGACTTGGTGGGCTGTTAAGCGGTCGGCCCGTGGAATAGATCTGATTATTCCACTCCGACTACGATACGCATTAACGCCTTCACAGAAGTCAGAAAAAATCGCGAGCCACCCCCTCCCCGTTCGACGAAGCCTGAGGCACATGGAGCAGGTCGAGTTCAACGAGTTCATGCAAACAGTTTCGTGCGATGCAGGGCCAACTTGCAGGGTATGACTTCAGAGATGGAGCGTCTACGGAAGGAAAACGCCGAACTACACCAAACGCGTGGTGAAGCGCGCCAGGAGTCGCCTGTCGTGGACGACGCAAGTAGCAGCACTACACCAGATGAGCGGGTCTAGAGCGAGCTAAAAGGCGAGATGGATGCGGACGAAGCGAGGCAGGCGCAACAGGAACAGTCGCCACAACAGTCGCGTGCAGTACCCAACCACGTGCAGCAGCGACGACGACGGCCCCGATGGCAAGCAACGGCTTTTGTGAAAATCATGAGAAGAAGTGAACGAGAATGAATGAACTATGAATGAAGTGAGTACAAATATGAAACCCTAATTGGGTTGTATCCCCTATGGGATACCCCACTATAGCCTACACAAATAAGTAAGCTATAATGTTCTGACACACCCCCATAGGCAAAGTGGGGGAGAACAAGGGGTCACAAGACCAGTCAAGCAAAGCAAAGCAAAGCTCAGGGTGGATCACAAAGTCACCACACATTCCGAGTACAAATTCAAGGGCCACAAGGCCAGTTCACATGCAAGATCATATATAGAGATATACAAGAGTCAAGCAAACAAGAGCAAGAGTATATATAGGTCAAGGTACAAACAAGGTCAAGAAGTGAGCAAGTGAGGCAAGACAGGCACAAGACCTAGCTGCGTGCAGCAACGCTGATGATCACAAGGCGTAAGTGCCTTGGTGAAGACATCAGCAGTGTTGGCCTCAGAGGCCACGTACGCAAGTCGCAACTGTCCACGCTGCTGTAGCTCACGAGCAAGAAAGTAGCGGAGAGCAATGTGCTTTGTCCTGTGCTCCAGACGCTGCTCTCGACACAAGGCCAGCATGGCCTTGTTGTCTACGTACAGGACTGGAGGAGAACGAGGCGGCTCTCCAAGGTCGGTCAGCAGGTAGGTGAGCCAGCGAAGCTCCTGAGCAGCCATAGCCCCGGCGTAGATCTCAGCCTCACAGCTGGAGCCGAGAACAGAAGACGAGCGAGTAGCCCGCCACGAAACAGAGCCGGAACCAAGGCCGAAGATGTAACCCTGTGACGACCGCTGCGTAGCCTGGTCGTCAGCCCAAGAAGCGTCCGCGTGCCCAGTGAGGACCACTGGACTGCGCCCTCCAAGCACTAGCCCCATGCCCGGCGTACTGCACAAGTAGCGCAACACCCTCTTCGCTGCAGCCATGTGCTCTGGTCGGTGTCTCCCAGGAGCAACATAGCGTGCGAGAATGCTGAGAGGGTATGCAAGGTCAGGTCGTGTGCAGGTCATCAGGTACATGAGGCAGCCAACAAGCTCTGGATACGGGCCACTCGACTCTACGGACTCATCCGAAGGCAGAGTTGAGAGCGAGAGTGGCGAGTAGGCAGAGGAGTGGCCTGAGGCAAGGAGTACGTGAAGCCGAAGCGCTGAAGGACCTGCTGCACCATATGTGACTGAGTCAGGGTAATGGTGCGCTGTGCTCTGTCCCGGGTGATCTGCAAGCCAAGGTAGCTGCGCAGTTCACCCAGGTCTGTGCACGTGTGTCTCTTCTGCAGCTCGGACTTCACGTAGGCGAGTCCAGCAGTGTCAGCTGTGGCAAAGACCAAGTCGTCGACGTACACGAGGATGTAGAACGGCGGCAGAGAGGTGTCGGTGCGCAGAAACAGCGACGGGTCGGCAGTAGAAGGAGCAAACCCAAGTGCCGCAAGCGTAGTCCTCAGTGTGTCGTGCACTCACGTGGCGCCTGGCGGAGACCGTAAACTGGACGCCGAAGACTCAACGGGTACAGTGAGGGAAAGACCCAGAGAAAAGCCAGGGGGCGACGAAGCCAGATTCCTCGTGAAGGCTACCCTGCAAGAAAGCAGTGCTGAAGTCGAGAGAGTGAGCCGTATTCCGGTGAGCAGCAACGTGCAGCAGTACCCGACGAGTGTCCTCATCGGGTGGGGGAGAAGGCTGAAGTAGTCAACTCCCTGCCG